GCAGCGCTATCGACAACAGCCAAAGTATGGAAAGAGCCCAAATGTCCATCGATGGATGAATGGGCAAAGAAGATGTGGTGTATATATACAATGGGAGTATTACTCGGCAATCAAAAAGAATGAAATCTTGCCATTTGCAACTATGTGGACAGAACTAGAGGGTATTATGCTAAGCAAAATTAGAGAAAGAAATCTCCTATGACTTCGCTCATATGAGGACTCTAAGAGACAAAACAGATGAACATAGGGGAAGGGATACAAAAATAATATAAAAACAGGGAGGGAGACAAAACAGAAAAAACTCATAAATATGGAGAACAAATTGAGAGTTAATGGAGGGGTTCTGGGAGGGAGGATGGGCTAAATGGGTAAGGGGCACCAAGGAATTTACTCCGCAAATCATTGTTGCACTATATGCTAATTTGGATGTAAATTGTAAAATAAAATTAAAATTAAAAAAAAAAAGAAAAAAGCAGAATTTAACATTGTTTCTATCTTAGGATTCCAATTATTAAAATAGTATAAATAAGATATATGAACAAAAAGCTTAAAGAAACATGGAAATCATATGTTAGAGCAGAATTGTGAATGGTTAACTCTGTTGTAAGTATAAATTACAAATTTTTTAAATGTTTATTCATTTTTGTGAGAGAGAGAGGGGGTATGAAAAGGGGAGGAGCAAAGAGAGAGGGGAACAGAAGATGTGAAACAGGCTCCACGCTGAGAGCAGCAAGCCTGATGAATTCATGAACCATGAGATCATGACCTGGGCCAAAGTCAGATGCCCAACTAAACCACCCAGGCACCCCTATAAATTAGAATTATATTGTATGCTGAGAAATTTAGTCTCTTTATCGTCTAATTACAATTATCAGTAAAGCTGTATTACCTTTATTTGCATTTTATTCGCATTCACTAAACCACCAATGTTTACTGAGCACCTCTGCTAGACACTGAAGATAAAATGGGTAACAAAATAGACAAGGACCCCCGGCCTCAGGAAGTTTACAGTTTGGTTGGTCTAAATTTTAATTCTTTAATAATTCTTGTGTAACTCCACGAGAATGTTTAATATATATCTAAAAGACTAATTTGTTAAAAAAGTAACAGCCCTGGCACATGGTTCAAAATACAAAGGCAGGGGTGCCTGGTTGGCTGAGTCGGTAGAGCATGTGACTCCTGCTTGGTCTCAAAGCCGTGAGTTCAAGCCCCACACCGGATACAGAAAATACTTAAAAAATAAAAACAAGGGGCGCCTGGGTGGCGCAGTCGGTTAAGCGTCTGACTTCAGCCAGGTCACGATCTCGCAGTCCGTGAGTTCGAGCCCCGCGTCGGGCTC